TTTGAAAATGGAGTTTTCACTTCGAAACGTTCTCCATCCACAATACACTGTAAAAAAATATTTTCATGATTTGTAATCACAACATTTTTTCTTTTGTCAAATCAACTTAAATAATTCATGTAGCTCAGATAACATAATATTTTGAGTTTCTGATGCTTAAATCAATCTCCTTCATTGTATTAACTCAATTTTTACAGTTCAATGAACTTAAAATTTTAAGGCAACCAGGTTACTTCATTTTTTAAGTTAAACCAACAATATTTTTTTTACAGTGTATAGTGTTTTCATGCATTTTCCAAAAGTTTCTCATCCACACAAACGTCGGGAAATGCTAAATTCACCCTAGAGCGCATGAGTAAACCCTCACAAAAGCTCACTGAGATGATACAGACAGAACAAGACATAATCAAGTTATCACACAATTCTTCTGGCAGGATCATTTTATTTAACAAAATATCACTGATGTGTCCAGATCGCACTTAGTCACCATATGTTTGGTCTATTTGGCCATATCCAATTAATGAGGGAGACTTGTCCTTTTACTGCCTATGGTGGTTACAGTCCTGGATTTAAGTATTTTCCAACATTTCATTGCGGATGAGAAACTTTTGTACAGTTCAACTTTTTTTAATTAATGTGGACATAGTTTTAAAGGTCTGTTCTCACACCAAGGACAATTACAACACACTATCACTTTAAAAATCTTTCTAAATTTAAAAGAATAGAAGAGTCCAGACCACAGCTATAACGATGATGGTGAATCACTTTCACAACAATTTCTTTTCCAGCTGATGAATGATAAAAACCTTGACAGCCAATCAGATTCCAACCTGCTTTAAAGAGCTACAACACTTAAAGCGGCAGACGACAATATCAGCAGCGCATGCTGTGTTAGTGTAGACACTAACATAGTAATCATCATAGTTATCTATCTTACTGTGACAAGCCTTTAGAGTTGTTGCAGCTGTACTGGGGCATACTTATTAAGCTAGGGGACACACTAGGTATCCAGCGTTTTATCCCGTACACGCATAATGGCTATGTTCAGTCAAGCGGTAACAGCTTTCATTACAGAACAGCAGGCTTCCAGGTTTTTGGAGGAATGTTTAATTGGCAGCGCCTTGTTTGACAAGCATCCCGAAGAAATGAATTTCAGCCCACATGGACTTGCCATCCCCATTGTGTCCAGCACAAAATTGGTAAACATCTCTCACATTGTCTTTGTTTGGCTGTGTCGAATTGCTGTGTGCCCGGTGGGAGATTGCAGGACAGACTTCCCAGATTCTCTAAAGATTAACTCCAGAGATAAAGTATCTGGGTTTCCTCCACATCTACACTTCATCCTGATGAAAAGCTACCCAGACTGTCAGCAAGTCTGTTCAATTTGCAAATCCTAATAGCTACTACAACTTAAGCAGCTTGACACATTTGAGAGGGAAAGAATTGATAAAACTCTATTTAACTTTAGGTGGCCGCTATCATCCTGTGCTGGGATGAAGTCTGCAAGTTACTGTATAATGGCCACTGCACATTTTTTCAGCTGTACAGGATGGCAAATGTTTCCTACAGTCTTGGAAATCGTCAATGCCTCCAGCCCCTTATAGCTAAATGGCCTTTAAGTCCAAAGACTGCCAAGCAAATCAATTACCTGGTCTGAAAGACAATTCACGGATGTTTTAGCATGCAGTTTCCGGGTTAAAAATACAGTGCAGACGGTTCACTCAAAAATGGATATTCTGTCATTCTTTACTCGTCTCCACGCCGTTCCAAACCAGAGCGAGGAGGAAAGGACAGGTTTGGCGGGATGTTCACAGTATTCTCTCTCATTTAATGACAGTGAATGGTGACCAGGGACTGTCAAGCTCCAAATATGACAAGATGGAAATATAAAAATTCATAAAATGTTTATGAAAAACAGTAGTCCACCAAACTGTGCACTTTAAGTCATCTGAAGACATAAGATAAATTCTCTCTAATCCATTTCAAACCTCATTTGTGTAATGTGAATATGTGTATATTCAAATTTGGCATATTGCAATCAGGTCAAAGACACATGAAAATCTAAATATTTGACAAATCTTGGAATATATGGTGTGGACGTACACTCAAAAAAGGTTTTTTTTTTGTTTTTTTTTTGCAATGCCATACAGTAGAAAATAAAAAATAAAGAACCTTTACTTTTAAAGGGATAGTTCACTTTGAAATTAATTTTTGGCATGTTTTAGCTTAACTTAAGGGAATCCAAGATTTAGGTTTCTTTGTTTCCGCAGTATTTTCAATTTTGATATTTTTAGGTCAAACCGTTCGTGTCTATCATTCATATAATGGAGGTCTATGGTCACCACCTCAAAGAGCATGCACAGAGAAGTCCAGATTAAAAATGATTTAATGACTCGTAAATGTAAGTACACATTGATGGCCTAAGACACGAAAACGAGCAGTTTGTGTGAGAAAACGAACAGTATTTATATCGTTTTTACCTCGTTACCACAGCCACAAAGCACCCGTACCCTCAGATCACTTACACGTGGTAAAAAACGATATAAATACTGTTCGTTTTCTCACACAAACTGCTCATTTCATGTCTTAGGCCATACATGTGTACCGGTACTTACATTTACGAGTCATTAAATCATGTTTAATCTGGACTTCTCTGTGCATGCTCATTGAGGTGGTAACCATAGACCTCCATTATATGACTGAAAATATCAAAATTAAAACTACTGCAGAAACAAAGACACCTCCATCTTGGATAAACCTTGAGGTAAGCTAAAACATACCAAAAATTAATTTCAAAGTGAACTATCCCTTCAAGAGTGCACCTTCGTATTAAAATTATAGTTATCATTATAGTTATCGGCCTTAGTGTGAATGGCCTTTTTTATAATTAGTGTGGGCTATTTTTATGGCCCTTTTGGTGACCATTCACTTTCATTGCATGCAAAACAGCAATTTCAACTTCTAAATAAGAAAGAAAATCATTTTGGTTTGGAAAGACATGAAGGTCAGTAAATAACAACAGGAAATGAGTTCACTGCAGTTGTTTTTTCCCAGCATGTGTGATCGTGTGTGTGTGTGTCTGCAGGGGTAGACTTTAGCCAGGGAGGGTCGACAGTGAAAAAAAATCCACAGCATTTGAGGAACAAGTAGCTAATGAGTCCATCCGAACATACAATAATGGTACTGTGACATGTGTGGCCTTTACATGACACACACACACACACAGCATACATCACATTGCTAAAGGAAATGCAAAACATGCAAATCCTTACATTACCTGTACGCCTGTCTAACAAGACCCTTAAGCCTATTTATAACTCACTTTTACGGCTGTGCAACGGGCCAGGGGTTTCACCTACAGTACTCAACTGGGAAAAAAAAAAAAAAAAAAAAAAAAAAAAATCAAGGCACAAAGAACAGCATGAGAAATTACAAATCGTGTCCATCAAAGTCTGAACGCGCCAGCACAGCAGGTGAACAGTTTTATTCGTCCCATGAGATCCCACCCCTCCCCTCTCACTCCCGCTCCCAAACGAATATTTTATTAATAAACATCAGTCAGAAATGGATGGCGGATGAATTCGCGTTGATTAATTAACAACCCTTAAAATAACTTGCACAGCACTAAAGCAAACAAGCCCAGGCAGTTTGACAAACTGGCACGACACTTTTGGTTGTGCAGCGTGATAAAATGACTCAGTTAGACAAGACAGGCATTATTAAAACAAGCGGCTCGTGTAGATGTTGATGCTTCAAAAGCAGGGCTTGACATATTCCTGAAAGGGCATTGTATTATGCACACTTCTCACCCCTGCTGAGAGAAGGTTGCCACGTGAGGATGATAGCAGTAATAAACAGCTGTTACAACCGTGATCCCACCCTTAAACCTCTATAATCAGGATTGCTATAAACAGCGTGTTATGCACATTTCCCCCTAAATGCTCACAGCAGATTACAGTTGCTGTGAAATGCAGGCAACAGCGAGAGAGCTTTGGAAAGGACAGAGAGAGAGAGAGAGATAAAGAAATCAAAGATGCAACACCCCTTTTGCATGCTGATCTGTGATGTGCTCTCTCTCTCTCTCTCTGCAGTGAATACATGAACTTCCACCAGTTATGAGTGAAATGTTCTGGCACACATGCAGTCGCTCATACATGGAGGAGCTGAGCTTAATCCCGGAGTTCTGTGTGAGCTGCATAATAGAAACAAATGTATTACCCCTCGTGTGAGGAGGGCATGGAGAGAGGTATCGTCTGACACTCGCATTGTATCACTCTGAATGCTTGAGAGATAAAGGGGCTTATTCTTTACAGCCAATAAACTTATATTAAGCCCATTAATCTGTCAATATTTAGGGTTTATCAGCATCCACCGGCAATTAACAGAAGCGGTCAAGTGTTGGTTACAAAATTTACCAAGCCTTGTCAATGGATTTTTAGTGATTCTTAGTAAATGCATCTACTTTTGTACATTTTATACAAAAGTACAGACAGCAGTAGTACAGACCACTTGGTTCTCTAGATATCTATCTATCTATATATATATATATCAGTACTTTACATGTTGGCCTATATATATATATATATATATATATATACATACAGTTAGGCAATTATAAATGAGGTGCACACACTAAAAATCCTTCAATAATATATAATCATGTATTATTTAAAGTCATACTTTTTAAATCTCTTTCAAGGCAACACCATCTGATCCAAAAAACAATTAGCTACTTAGACACAGAATAGTCAAGACGACAAATAGCCTAGTAATATTTCTCAAATCATATGTGTTTAAACAAATAGTTTATTCTACAATGTATTTGGGGTTTGTTAAGAGTGGCTTGCTCTCGACTAATGATCCCCTGATTTTTTTTTTTTTTTAAGGGGATTTTTTGGGGGGTTGGAATATAAAAAACCCCGAAATGTGACGTGCATTTGATCATATTCATAATTTGCGACACAGGTCTAATAGCTTTTCATGATGCGCGTGACACATACCTGCGATTTATGCTGCTGACCATCCTCGAGTTCTGAAACACTGTTCATGATTTTCCATCGATCATTTACCATTCTCTGGAATCCTTACCATCCGAGAGTTGATTTCATGGGCATGAGGAGAGAACGGGACTGTCAGTCTTAAATTCCAGCATCCAAGAAAGAGAAAAATGAAACAGCACAACAGTCTCAGGGAACTAAAACTACTTCACAAAACGATCCGCACAAACCTACTGAAAACCGGGGCACAGAGCTAGGGATCCACACTCATTTTGTAAAAGAAAAATATACGTACTTCAAGGGACTTGACCCTCACCCCAAAAAGAAACAAAAGAAGAAAATGCAGTCCGAAGGCAGATGCGATCTCCTCAACGCTCTCGCGAAGGTGTGACGGTTTGCGGATGATGCGTTCCGTTAGTTGGCAGGTATTCCTCCTCAGATATGAAACTTTCCCTACCCTTTCAGTGAGAAACAAAGAAACGCGGGTTTAGATAATAAAACAAAAGTTATGTAAAATAACTGTATGTTAAGCATCCGTTTGGTTTGGTTCATTCCTGTGGTGTGTGATAACACGCTCCTGAGATCAGCCCCCCCTTTCTTGTGCTTACACCGACCGCGTCTGCTAGCGATGTCCGATCCGTGAACGAATCGTTCTTCTGAGTCGGATCTTTTCGATGAATCATTTAAACCGGTTCACTAAACCGGTCTCACGCATTAGACTAAACGACTCGAATATGAATCGGTTCGAGTGGATCTCGAGTGAACAACTCTGGAGAGCATCGAGGATTTGATTGATGGGGCGAATAACAGAACATTTACAACAAAAACATACTCATGGCCGTTAGATTTAAATGAATAAACAGTGAATGAATGAAAGAAAGACTTAATGGAATGTCAATAAAACCCAGTTAAAATGAGTTTAGTATTCATTGTACGTATACGTGTTATGACTTTATAGCTAATCGTGGTTGCTACAAACTCAATTTACATATTAAATTACAATAAACACAATTATTAATTATAGGCCATAACGCAAAGCATTATTCAGTGTGTTGACAATTTCCACTGAAACAAGCGAACAGGTGGGGCATATGGAACCGTACCTCCCATTTTTTTTAAATAGCCAATAGTGTTTAGTTTATACATCACAGCTTGGCCAGAGCCGTTGAGCTCAGTAATGGCACAGTTTCCTAATCTCTAGCCATTTCTCCACATAAATCTCATCCATATCACTTTAAATTTTATCATTCTGTGCAGAATTAAAGTGGGTCCGATATGTTTTCTAATATGTGTCGTCAAGCATCGGAGCAGAGAGTGTGTGAGCTGCAAGGGTTTGCGTGACACTAATGTTAAACCAGAATCATTTTCTACCCACTATAAAGTGCATTATATGCCATTCACCATTAAAAAATAGAAAATAGTTATTGCGTGAACAAGTGACTGATTTTAGCCGCAGTGTATTTATAATGTAGGGAGCGGGACGCTTCAGATTCTACAAAGCATGTGATTGGACAGGAAATCTGATGAGAAGTCATTGATCAAAATCATTGATCCATGTTGGCAGATTGTGAGAGATTGTAAGTTGTCATCTGAATGTAAATTTTGTCATTGTTTTGGACTCTAACATAATCGTTCTAAAAGCCAAAAAACTAAGATTTTGATTTCATGGGGACTTTAACAGAAAATGTAACATTATCAGATATTAGCATAATATTAGCATAACATTATGTTGACATGGAGAAAAGCAGAGTGCACTTGAAATTATACAGGTTTGATCAAAAGACCCTGCTGTATGGTCATCTTACCAGAAAGAGATAAGAAAATCTACGCTACTGTGAAATCTCCTACAACTATGGAAAGCATATTGTGGTCAAACTTAAAATCCAATAGCTATTTTTTTTTTTTACTTAAGTACAAACAACGCGACGTCATTCAGCTGCTTTAAAACATAACAGCATGTTTGCACTTGCCTTTTTTTCTTATACTGTAGCTATAAAACCTCTAGGATACAGTCTGATTAATAAAGTGTTTACTGTTCTGGAACAGAATGCTCACACACACATCTGACCCATGTATTTTACAGCTACACACCATTTCATGTCATTGAGATTTACAGATGAAGAGTACAGATGTGATTGTATCATCCCAAAAAAACAAATAAGGAGGGTTATTTTGAGGTCATCGTGTTCTTCTGTTGTTTACCAAAGAAGCAGCATCTCTGTTTGAAAAAGAGTTTGTTTTAAGTCAGTACAACTGCACATCCACACTGTTTTCATACAGTTATCACAATCTTCAGTCACCATGAAACAAAAATTTACACTTTTTGTTTTTAGGGAATATTGCAGTATTTATTATAAAAGATTTATATATTATATGTTCCCTTGTAATCTTTAATCAAAATAACTTATCCTCCCTCTCGCAGCGACTTGTTTACTGGCGTGAGTGACTGTCACTCAAATGCCATCACAGCAATAGAGTGCAGTGACGCATTTTTGGAGGCCAAGACCCAAAAACGATTTAGCATTTAAACACTTCCGGTTCAATCATCCCGAAGTCAATGGGTCTGTGGTGAACACAAGCTCAAGATACATATACGTTTTATTTTACGACATAAAAGACCCCTCATGATTTATGTTGCGTGTCTTGAAAAACGCGGTTGCTAACAAGTGGCTAAATGGGACTACAGAGAGGGTCAGGGACATTAAACATCATCAGTCGAACAGGTAAGAACAATACTTTTAACAATTCTCATTGTGCTTTTAATCTATTCTAACAAAAAAAAATGGCAGTGAAAATGTTTTTTAGGAAGCTTAGTGGTGGTGTGACGTTGAAATCATGATACTGTGGTGTAGTTCATTTATAGCCTAGCTTTTTACTTCTGCCGATTCTATCTTCAAAATTCGTGAAAATTATCTTGGTGGACAAAATATGTAAGCATCATAATACTTTTGTTGATCACAGTGCTTCGATAATCTAAAGCCTATGGTAAAATCCTATTGGGGTTTTGTCGAGGGAACCATGTGTGAACTTCCGGGTTGGCCTACAAATTTTACGTCATCCCTACACCACTCTAGAAAATCACGATCCAATAATCCAATGAATTTATTATATTACCAATGGACAAAATCTAGTCCCGCCCTAAATTATTTTCTGGCTCGAGAAGCCGTTTTACTCTGATTTAATATTTCTGTCATGAAACTCTAGACGGTGCTGGCGGGTCCTTAAAGGTGCAGTATGTAATATTGACAGCTGGTGGTTGAATTGGGTACTGCAATCCAAATTCAAAATATTGGAAAGAGTTGTTTCCAATCCCCTTCCTCCTCAGACTTGACGCTCATGCGGTTTTCCAGATTGAGGACACGCAACAGGAGAAGCGAGCACAGTTGACAATGTATTGACAGTCTTTGTACTTGTTCTGCAGCAGCAGCAGCAGTGTAGCAGATCTATTCAGCCAAGACCAAATGCACTCGGAGAGTTGTCATGACAGAACTATACTTCACAATAGGGAGAATAAAATAGTATCGCAACATCTGTTTGATGCCGACTTTAAACAATATTTTTGCAATTCTCTCCTACCACAGTGTAAGGGTATTTAGAATGGTGTGAGTCAGTATGACGATGTTACCAGTACAGAGTTAACAGACAAGCCACCAAAATGCAACTTGTTTGGATGTCAACTCTTTAACAGGCAGGTTTGTTTGAGAAATTCACTTCAGGTAGTTTAAAAAATGAGAGCAACTATTGTGTCAGCTGGTAAACAAGCTGACATTTGTGTTGTGAAATCTATGCCAGGAGGTGTGCAGAAAACTCAGTTTGTCCTTCCTTTGCACCGCAGCTACAGTATGTGCACCCATGAGCTTTCCAAAAATGGTTTTCAGGTATTTGCACTATTGAATTTTCAGTATAAAAGAATTGTAAACAGCTAAAACATCCTATAAACTGTCCTCCAACTATAATAATAGTGACAAGGTCCAGAAATGTCTATGTTGCCTGTATTATAATCATTCACCCTCAACAGGAGTTAAGGCCCGTTCACACCAACGATTATAATTATAACGATAAAGACATAGTTAGAAAAAAATCATTCTATATATAAAAGAATAGCAAAGTCCATACTAGAACTTTAGCGATAATTGTACAGAGAAACAATAATCGTTGTTAATCACTTCAGAATCACTTTTTCCAGCTGATGAACATAAAAATATTGACAGCCAATCAGAATATATCCTGCATTAAAGGAGCAGTTGGGAACCAAACGGTTCAAGGTCCAAATGAGAGTTTCAGTGCAGCTTCAAAGGGGTTTAAACGACACCACACGATGAATAAGGTTCTTATCAAGCGAAACGATCGCTCATTTAAAAAAAACAAAAAACAAAGTTTAAGTTTTATAAGCACAAATGCTTGCCTTGCGTTCGAATTCTGTTCGAAGTCAATTCTTTCATTTTGTTCGTTGAATCAACCAAATGACTCGAAAAAAGATTCTTTCATTTTGATGAACGAGTTCGAACAGGAGAGTCACGAACGCGCATCACAGAACAGAGCAAGGTGACCATTCCTGTAGAAAATATAGCATAATGGAAGCTCCCCCCCTCCCCCTCCCCCCCTCCCCCTCACACTCCATGTGTGAGGTTGTCAAACCAGCGAGTTTGCAGAGCTGGAAACACAAGCCACAGAGAAATGCCCTCTGTCAAAAAGCAGCCTTCTTCCAAATAAAGAGACACTGAATAAGACACTAAATATAGTGAAGACAGCAACTTGGTAAAATAGGCGACATCTAGATGCATACTCACTAACAACATTAAAAAAAAGAAGCTTTTTTTGTTTTTTTGTTCTTTCAGTCTTAAATTCTATTCAATTCACATTTATTTGTAGCCTAGAAATCTAGACGCACGCTAGCGGCAGCAAGATTATTTTGCAGCCAGTGTGGTCTAGCAATTTGCAGACGTTTTAGCTGAAAAAACCAAACTCTGGTCAGGCCAATCACATAGTGTATAGAGTCGGCAGGCGGGATTAACATAATGACGACAGAGTTGCGATGGTTCACTGCTACTTGAAAACAAAGAATGGCTGCATTCGGCTTTGACCGCTACTTGACCGCTGGATGATTTGAACTTAAGCTTTTCTTTGAAACACAGAACAGAACGGCACTTGAGTCATAAAAAAAAAAGATGTGTTCGGAGTTTTGTCGACTGGATACGGTAAAAGTTTAATATATCAACTTTCTCCGCTAATGGGAAAACGCATGGGACTCAGCCGTCACCTACTTCGTTGCTCTGATTGGTTGTAACGCTATCCAATTGCGTGCAGAGAGAATCTGAAAGACAACCGTTTATCCCGCCCCTCAGATTGAGCCCTGTCAATGAGGAGGTCTTGCATGCCAGGCTAATTTATTTGTATATTGCTTTTCACAATACACATCGTTTCAAAGCAGCTTTACAGAGTCCACGTTACAATTCAGAGTGATCTGAGGTAACTAAGTTATGCATTTCAGAAATGTACATGTAGAGTATACAAATCAAAATTAGCTAAAAATTGACTAATTTAAACAATGTAATAACAATAAGGTTATTGAAGTAGTATATACTTGTTAACAAATTATTATGAAAATTGTAG